GTATATGTATAGTATTGAGTGTATCGTGTATATGTACAGTATGGAGTGTATCATGTATATGTACAGTATAGAGTGTGTATATGTATGGAGTGTATCATGTGTATATGTACAGTATAGGGTGTATTATGTCTATATCTGTTGTGTGCATGGAGTGTTTCATGTGCTCAGTAGCTTAGTGGTAATGTCATTCACCATTCACACCAGAGACCCGGGTTCTATCCCAGACCCTGACAGGCGTGTATATGTATTGAGTGTATAGTGTATATGTAGAGTGTGTGTGTATATGTATGTATTGAGTGTATCATATCTGTGTATATGTATAGAGTGTGTATCATGTCTGTGTATATGTATGGATTGTATATGTATTGAGTGTATATGTACAGTATAGAGTGTGTGTATGTATTGAGTGTATCATATCTGTGTATATGTATAGAGTGCGTATATGTATTGAGTGTATCATGTATGTGTATCGTGTATATGTACAGTATAAAGTGTATATATGTATTAAGTGTATCATATCTGTGTATATGTATAGAGTGTGTATATGTATTGAGTGTATCATGTCTGTGTATATGTATGGAATGTATGTGTATCGTGTATATGTACAGTATAAAGTGTATATATGTATTGAGTGTATCATATCTGTGTATATGTATTGAGTGTATCATGTCTGTGTATATGTATATCATGTATATGTACAGTATAGAGCGTGTATCATGTCTGTGTATATGTATGGAATGTATCATGTATATATATTGAGTGTATTGTGTATCATGTGTATATGTACAGTATGGAGTGAATCTTGTATAAGTACAGTAGAAAGTGTGTATATGTATGAATGTATTGAGTGTATCATATCTGTGTATATGTATTGTATCATGTGTATATGTTCAGTATCGAATATATATATATATATATATATATATATATATATATATATATATATATATATATATATATATATATATATATATTGAGTGTATAATATATGTATTGAGAGTATCATATCTGTGTATATGTATTGTGTATATGTATGTATGGAGTGTATCATGTGTATATCTGTTGTGTGCATGGAGTGTACCATGTGCTCAGTAGCTCAGTGGCAATGTCATTCACCTTTCACACCAGAGACCCGGGTTCTATCCCAGACCCTGACAGGAGTGTATATGTATAGTGTGTATAATGTCTGTATGTATGTAATGTATCATGTATAATATCTGTGTATATAAATGGAATGTATCATGTATATGTACGGAGTGCATCATGTGTATATGTACAGTATAGAGTGTGTGTGTAAGTGTATATATATTGAGTGTATCATGTCTGTATATATAAATTGAGTGTATCATGTGTATATGTATGTATTGAGTATATAATAACTGTATATGTATAGAGTGTGTATATGTATGGAGTGTATATAATTATATAGTGAGGAGTCTATGATATGTATATCTGTAGTATGCATGGTGTGTAAATGTATGTATTGAGTGTATCATATCTGTGCATATGAATTTAGTGTATCGTATGGACTGTATCATGTGTATAGATATGGAGTATGGAGTGTGTATATGTACAGTATAGAGTGTGTATACTGTATGTATGTGTATATGTGTCAATGTACTGATTGTATGTGTGTATGGAATGTATCATGTATATGTACAGTATGAAGTGTATCATGTATGTGTTAAGTGTATTATGTTTATATGTATGGAGTGTATCATGTATAGTATGGAGTGTATCGTGTATATGTATAGTGAGGAGTGTATTTGTAGTATGCAAGGAGTGTATCATGTGGAATGTATGGAATGTATCATGTATATATATTGAGTGTATTGTGTATCATGTGTATATGTACAGTTTGGAGTGTATCTTGTATATGTACATTAGAAAGTGTGTATATGTATGTATTGAGTGTATCACGTCTGTGTATATGTATAGAGTGTGTATATGTATTGAGTGTATCATGTCTGTGTATATGTATGGAATGTATCATGTATATGTATTGAGTGTATCGTGTATATGTACAGTATAGAGTGTGTATATGTATGTATTGAGTGTATCATATCTGTGTATATGTATAGAGTGTGTATATGTATTGAGTGTATCATGTCTGTGTATATGTATATCGTGTATATGTACAGTATAGAGCGTGTATCATGTCTGTGTATATGTATGGAATGTATCATGTATATGTATTGAGTGTATTGTGTATCATGTGTATATGTACAGTATGGAGTCTATCGTGTATAAGAGTGTGTATATGTATTGAGTGTATCATGTCTGTGTATATATATATATCGTGTATATGTACAGTATAGAGCGTGTATCATGTCTGTGTATATGTATGTGTATTGTGTATCGTGTATATGTACCGTATGGAGTGTATCTTGTATAAGTACAGTAGAAAGTGAGTATAAGTGAGTCTGTGTGTATGGAATGTATATGTATTGAGTGTATTGTGTATATGTATGTATGGAGTGTATCATGTGTATATGTACAGTATATCTGAGGAGTGTATCTGTAGTATGCAAGGAGTGTATCATGTGCTCAGTAGCTCAGTGGTAACGTCATACACCTTTCACACCAGAGACCCGGGTTCTATCCCAGACCCTGACAGGAGTGTATATGTATAGTGTGTATAATGTATGTGTATATGTATGGAATGTATCATGTATATGTACGCAGCGTATCATGTGTATATGTACAGTATAGAATATATATATATATATATATATATATATATATATATATATATATATATGTATATTGAGTGTATAATATATGTATAGAGTGTGTATATGTATTGAGTGTATCATGTCTGTGTATATGTATGGAATGTATCATGTATGTGTATTGAGACCAGAGACCCGGGTTCTATCCCAGACCCTGACAGGAGTGTATGTGTATAATGTCTGTGTATATGTATGGAATGTATCATGTATATGTATTGAGTGTATCGTGTATATGTACAGTATAGAGTGTGTATATGTATGTATTGAGTGTATCATATCTGTGTATATGTATAGAGTGTGTATATGTATTGAGTGTATCATGTCTGTGTATATATATATCGTGTATATGTACAGTATAGAGCGTGTATCATGTCTGTGTATATGTATGTGTATTGTGTATCGTGTATATGTACCGTATGGAGTGTATCTTCTATAAGTACAGTAGAAAGTGAGTATAAGTGAGTCTGTGTGTATGGAATGTATATGTATTGAGTGTATTGTGTATATGTATGTATGGAGTGTATCATGTGTATATGTACAGTATATCTGAGGAGTGTATCTGTAGTATGCAAGGAGTGTATCATGTGCTCAGTAGCTCAGTGGTAATGTCATTCACCTTTCACACCAGAGACCCGGGTTCTATCCCAGACCCTGACAGGAGTGTACTATGTATAGTGTGTATAATGTCTGTGGAATGTATCATGTATATGTATTGAGTGTATCGTGTATATGTACAGTATAGAGTGTGTATATGTATGTATTGAGTGTATCATATCTGTGTATATGTATAGAGTGTGTATATGTATTGAGTGTATCATGTCTGTGTATGTGTATGTGTATAGAGTGTGTATCATGTATATGTATGGAATGTATTGTGTATATGTACAGTATGGAGTGTATCGTGTATAAGTACAGTAGAAAGTGAGTATATGTATGTATTGAGTGTATCATGTCTGTGTGTATGGAATGTATATGTATTGAGTGTATTGTGTATATGTATGTATGGAGTGTATCATGTGTATATGTACAGTATAGGATGTATCATGTTGTATGCAAGGAGTGTATCATGTGCTCAGTAGCTCAGTGGTAATGTCATTCACCTTTCACACCAGAGACCTGGGTTCTATCCCGTGTGTATAATGTCTGTGTATATGTATGGAATGTATCATGTATATGTACGGAATGTATCATGTGTATAAGTACAGTATGGAGTGTGTATATGTATTGAGTGTATCATGTATATGTACGGAATGTATCATGTGTAACTATATATATAGTGAGGATACTATCTGTAGTATGTATTGAGTGTATCTGTGTGCATGTGTATGGAGTGTATTGTGTGTATGTATGAGTGTAATATGTATATGTATTAAGTGTATCTTGTATATGTATGTACGAAGTGTATCCTGTGTATATGTACAGTAAAAAGTGTGTGTATATATCTATTGAGTGTATCATGTGTGTGTGTATGTATAGAGTGTGTATACGTATGTATGAGTGTAATATGTCTGTATATATGTATTAAGTGTATCGTGTATATGTATGTACGGAGTGTATCCTGTTTACAGTATGTATGTACAGAAGAAAGTGTGTATATTTATGTATTGAGTTTATCATGTGTATATGTATGGAATGTATCATGTATATGTACAGTATGAAATGTATCACGTAAAAAATCAATCAACCACACCCCTTAAACCCAGTAATTGGTGGATAAGCAAATCGTTATAAATTTTACGAATGAGATCATACAAATTTATATGAATTAGCCAAATCAAAAAGTTACAAATTGGCATGATCGTGTAGTCCTCATGCTCAAGCTTAATGTTTTATGCTGATCGTATTAAAACAAAGAAAACAATCTGAATCTGTTGTTTTTAAGTTAAATATACCATGATATTATCCGGCCCACTTGGGAAAATATTTTCCTCCATGTGGCCCCTGAGATAAAATGAGTTTGACACCCCTGTTCTAAGCTCTTTGGCCTTACTCCAGTCTCGTAGGTGGCGGTAATGCACTCTCCAAGTTGAGTTGCTAACTGTCACAAAACATGAACGAAGAAGAACAAGGAAACGAAGAAGAAGATGGAGACTTGAGAACGTGTGTGACTTTGGGAGCGAGCAAAGTGTTGTTTTTGGTGATATTGCGTTTGAATATGCTTCCGCGATACGCATGTATCGTAGTGTATTAGTGGGGTCTTTGTTTAAAATAGCTTAGAACTTTTGTCACCGAATTGTCCTCTGGATGGTTTATCAAGTAATGAATGGCATCTGCTTTAAAATAATTATTTTTTTTCGAGAAGTGGTCAGAGTATTATAACCTCTTTATGAACCGAACCGTGCCTTATGTAAGACCAGAGCCTTACTTAAGAAAGTTGCAATAACAGCGATGCCATGCTTAAACCTGGAGGACATTTCCGGGAGATGTGATGTTGCGTGCAAACACTTCTCTCCTTTACCGAAGTCATTTGCACGTCTATTCAATTAATTTGTGATCGACTAAGAGTTTTGGCGAAAATATCGATGCATTTCGGGCGGTCGCTGAGGACACCGAGAAAGATTAGCAGCTGTTTGGGGATAACATTCGCTAGGGTCATTTCGCTTTTTTCCTGTCAGAATGCTGCTCTCTCTGGTCGTACACACGTACTCTTTGCGATACTGGCTTCCGACGGCGGTGATGCTGGGCACGGCTCCGGCTTACCTGCTGTCCTGGAGCGTTTGGCGGCTGCTGTCTGCTATTCTACCGGCCAGACTCTATCACACTGTGGATGACCGTGCCTATTCAGTCTACCAGAGCATGGTCCTGTTCTTCTTTGAGAATTACACGGGAGTGGAGGTAAGCTTGACGGTATTTCTCTTGCCTATATACTTTTTTTTTTGTTAAAACTTGAGTTAAGTTGTTTTATATTCGTATATTTGTTCATTTTTAACAGTATTAAAACTTGTGACACGCTCTCTAAATTCTTTACTACGCTACTTTGAATATTCGGTCTGAAACAGCGTGACTTTAAAACAGCATTAGCACTATTTAACTGACTTAATGCAGCAGTTCTGTCTGCTTTTTGAATCTGATTGGCTGAGAGCCGTGTGACATGCTGCAATATCAGAGCAGTACAGCCTCTTCACTCTTGTGTATTACTCCGCCCACAGAGTGACAGCAGATGAATAAACTCAATACAGTTTGAATATTGCAGTTGTTGGACAACATGATGTATTTTTGAGGCTTTTACGTGAGAATGTAGTTGTTTAGATCACAAATATGCAGTTATTTTATAAGGACAGTGCCTATTTTAAATATTCAGAATTTCTGAGATGCGTGTCGGCATCCTTCAGCCTGTCATACTGAGCAGAGCAAAAAGACGGTGACAGACTGCATAATAAAGCCTTAGAGGAGAAAAGATCAGTGTACTATCAAACTACAGCTCAAAACATTATAAAATTGGTGAGTGACATTCTGGGTTGATCTCTCTCATTTGCATATTGCAGTGCTGTATTTATTCTATAGTAATTATAGTCTATCGAGTGTGAAATGTGACTCGCATCTATGTATTTTGTGTTGGTTACTTTTTGGTTGGCCATTTATTTGTTTCTAATGAGTCTCCTGTTTTCGTTACTGCAGACTAGTTCAGTATAAAGAAAGAGTGAAAGAAAGAAGAAATGCGCGCTCATGTTTAGCGTTTTATCACAAACACAACAGTGATCTGGTAGTGTTTGCATTGCTTTGAATTTTTCAGGGTTAATCATTGTGATATCCCGATTGCAACAGTAAAATTCCAGGAAAGACTTTTTGATACTTTGCTGGTGATACTTTAGCCACATAACACGCATTTCCATCCATGAAAAAAATCCTGCAGGGACTGGCAGTACTGCAGACCTATAGTCATTTACACACTCACCAAACAGCAGCATGGGAAAGATGCATCGTGATAATTATTTTTCAATGTGCGAAAATTTCGGATTTAGTGTGCAATGACCTTTACTCTAACCAACCTTGCTCCATTTGACCTCTGCACAGCAGTGTCAGTACATCACAGTGGTTCCCTCCCTTTTTTTTTTTACCTTTTTTTGGCAATCTGAGCTTCTTCGTAAAGGAATCTCGGTGTGAATATTGAAAAAACGCTTTTGAAACAATTATTAAAGTAAATTATAGATTTAATGTACTTGATAGTTAAAATGACTACAAATTCATTGCTGTCAGATGTCAACTCGATCAGCAATATGCCACCTCTGGCAGATTAGTATTTTAATATTATAGACCTTTTTCACATCATAGTTGGGTAAACTTAAGAGTGCAGTGAATGGGAGAGTAGAACAAATATTATTTTTACAATCCTATTTGCTGAAATAATAAAAGAAAAACTCAACGATAGTGTTATCAAGACTTTTAGAAAAGGGAAAAAATGGTGTGAGACTAATAACGGCAGCCAGAAAAGAGAACAATGTCAGATTTACTTTCAGCCCCATAGACGCTGCATATTTATACTTTGCGTCAAGTGACCAGCATAACCCACGGCGCATGCAACGTGTGTAGCTGTGCATTTATACTTCTGCCCGCTGTCTCTGTCGGTCTGCATTAACATTTCCGAAACGCTAGTTGGCAGTGAGGTGTAAATGTTTCTCTGTGTCGAGTTTCTTCCCTGCGGTTTTGCTTTTCCTTAACATTTTCGGGATGTACAAGTGGCTCAAACTCGCTCATTTTGAGGCAGGAACCGGCGGACGTGCAGCAACTTTAACTATGAGGTTAACACAAAACAAAACTTTCCATCTGGAGCTCCTTCACGGGACTCCACACTTGTAAACAATCGCTCCATCAGGCTCGCACCATTCACGCGGCTCTCGGTCCCGCCCAGACACGTCAGGGCTACCAAGCCGACCAATCACAGAGCTTGCGCTACGCGTCGTTGCGACGTATAGTTACATTTTTTGAGAGGTGCACGTCAGCGACGCCGATGGCCACGGCGAAGGACTATGCATCAGTGCCGTAGCATATGCCGACGTTTGACGCAGAAACATAAATCAGCCTTTAGAAACACCTCACAATAATCGGCAATTCGTTTTTTGTAATTTAACGCAAAGATGATATAATGCATTCATAAATGCAAATAAATCTTCATACGTTTTTTAAAAATAATAATATTAAAAGGGATTTAAGATTATGATGATCAATAAATGCGTCATAACAGTCTTGTGCAAAGGGTCCATTTAACTTTTCTATTTAGTATTTGTTGACAAACCGTTTTCTTCTAGCATAATGTGTTTCGAAGTGTTAAAAACATGATTGCCTTGAAATTGTTGTTGTTGTTTTGTTAAAATCATGTTTTCAAACAAACAAAAAAAAAGGCTGGAGGTTGTATCAAAGCATGTAGCTCAGTAAATTTAGATACGAAAAGTCCTCAAAATGTCGCTGTACTTGTTTTATTTGTGTATAAGTCTGCTCGAGTGTGTGGGTGTGTATGTATGAAACAAGAAACAGTCATTCCCTGAGGTGATTGCCCTGCTGGAAATTCCAAAAATCAAGATTTAGTCTGCACTGTAGGCATCAGAATATTGCTATAATGTCCTGATACTTTAACAAACTTATTATATATTTTTTAAGATTTTCCCTTCCAGAATTTGGTGTAATCCTTTAGTGTATATTTCATTCATTCATTCTTTTTCTTTTTGGCTTAGTCCCTTTATTAATGCGGGGTCGCCACAGCGGAATGAACCGCCAACTTATCCAGCACGTTTTACGCAGCGCATGCCCTTCCAGCCGCAACCCATCTCTGGGAAACATTCACACACACTCATTCACACACATACACTACGGACAATATGTTTAATTGTCTTCCTTACATCCTTAAAAATAAAATTTGTTTAAAAGTTCTTCATATATTAATGTATAAATATTGTTTATTATAGCTTTTAAAACTTGTCTTAAAAAAAAAAGCTATGCTGCTAAATATATATATATATATTTATATAACTAGGGTTTGCTTGTTTTGACACATTATTTAAAATATGTGGCTAAGAAATAACTAAACTTTAATTATAATGGGGCAAGTAAAGAAAATTCTGTTGGTTATTCCAAACAATTATTAGCGTTTTGCCCTGTGAAAGTCTGAAATTTCATTCATAATGGTCTTAAAAAGTCTTAAATTGGACATTATGAAACTTGCAGACATGTAGTACAAAGTACAATTTAAGCAAAATAAACATGTACACTTGAGCTGAAAACATTTGTTTCTCCATCAGAATTCCCTTGCTGTAGGGTTTCTTCAGAAAAAGCTGTGCCCTTTTCTGCCTTAGGCAAACAAGCTGTGGCAAATCAGCTTAAGTGGTCATTTACAGACACCAACTGGATAGTGCTACTGCTTAGACATACAAAACCACATAGCAATTGTGCTATGGTTAGTTACAAGTTAGTACTGAGGTGTCTACTGTCATGGTTTGCTCTTGATCTTTAAATTAAAACCTGATTTTTACATAGAGACTGAAGCATGTAAAATGAGACGATGAAAACTCTGGCTTAATGGACAAAGTAAAAATGTGGCGGGATATATTATACATTGATGGGCTTTAATGAAATGTTTCAGTGCTACATCCAGCCTAAATGAGAGTGGCTGTGTGAGTGTCAGGAGGGACTGTAATGTGCTTGTGAACTCGCATTTGCAGAGAAAGAATGCAGCTAGGCATGGGATGATAACCTGTTTTTTACTGCTGTTTGGAAAGGTCATGGTTTTAAAATATTTAAATATTGCTAAAATATTCTGTTTTACCATTCCTGCGGTTTATGTAATAATAATAATTATTATTATTATTTTAAGGTGTTGTCAGACTGTTTTGTTTATTTAGGGCAACATTATCTCCGGTGGCAAATTAGCATCTACATCAAAAGGTACTGATCAGCGACACGACGCGCACATGACAGTTTAAACTATCACGCACCAAACGCGCACATTCGCATGATATTTAACATGAAACTAATCAGATGGCGCTCTGTGGGCCGGCTGAAATATGATCTACTTCGTGAATCGTGGCTGGGTGGCGCCGGTGTGTGTATAGAAACCTGTTTAGAATTCTAAAATCCGTGGTGCTGCGAGGCGCGTCGCCGAGAGGTGCTTCAGGTGTGCTTCCTGCTTCATACAGAGAGTGAACCAAAGCACATTGGTGCCATTATAATGGATAAAATATATAGATTTTTTTAAAAATCGCGATTTCTCGATTTCATTCAAAGTTAAATCGTCTTAAAACGTAAAGTCAAATTAATCGGAAAAATTGCCCAGCCCTACACATTAGACATCGTTTGATGCCAAATTGGTCAACATCGCCCAACCCTATATCACAGTTAACAACAATAGTGAGATGAGATCTAGTGGTACATCCTTGATGAACTGTCCGACGCCCAGACCTCCGCATATGCTGCAGTGAATGCCAGAGTCTGTGTGGTCAGGTGATGTGCGTTTTCAGCAGTGTAGTGTGGACAGAGATCTTTTCAGAAACGCCAGTGTGGACGAGGATTGTTTCCATTTTAAAACGCAATTTTAAAACTAAAACGTATTAGTGTAAACTCGGCCTAAGTGCAGCAAGTATTGATGCTTGAGAAAGTGGGGGGTGTGAGGTGGGGTTATGGACAAACAAATCTAGGAAATAAGTTTCTACTGTGGCTGAAAGTGCTTCTACTTGAATGAAAAGGCTAATGACAACTTTTTTTCTCCGAATATTTGCGATCTCTCTGAGCTGATGGGCCAGTGGTTGGTCCACCGACATCTACTGCAAAATTGCTCCAGGCATCCCGTGTTTGAGTTCCTAGCTCATGGACCGATCCCATCTCCTCTTCCATTTTACTTCCTGTCATCCCGCTGCCTTGTCAAATCAAGGCAAAAATTAAAAAAACAAAAAAACAAATAGTAGTTGTAGTTTCTGTGTATGTGTATTGGAGCTTAAATGTCCACAGTATCCAGCACCTAATACGAAGTCAGCTCTGTGGTTTTATTTTGGGGTAGGTGCGTTGTAGATATTGTCAGTGAAGCGTTTCTGTGCACAGCAGATGTGGTGTATGGTTATAGGCTGAATCTTTTGCTTGGCATTCATCTCTGTTGCATGGGTGTATATGTCCTGGATCTTCTCAGTTTTCATTGCCCTCAAGATGGTCTTCACACAATCTGCTGTTGAGAGAATCCAGACACTACAGTGTTTCCTCCAGGATTTATTTCCAGCTGTGGCGGCAGGTTCTTTTTTACACAGATCTACCGACTACCTGTGGCGTTATTATTTCAATGCAAATCTTCATGTGCGCTCTCAAACAAACACTGCTGGGTGCGATTTAGTGTGTTTATGTAATGAGTATGTCTCCAGCATTTATTAGATTTGCTAGGAATATTTATGAATGTCTCCAATAGACCCACAGAGTAGAATTAATGCGTCCTGAAGTAAAGTGAAATTGTTATACGTCCTGTTTGCTGGCCTCACGCACCTGTCAGTCAGTCAGTCAGCACCTCACCTTAAAGGGTAAACAAATGACGCACAGCACTACTATGGTTACAGAAAAGTTTGCACTGTTATAATTCACTTACCCTTTAATACGTTTTGGTGCGATTATTACCCGCTATAAAAAAAATAAAACGTTTTCAATGAGAAGCTATAATGTAGTCGTGGTGGGATGAATTTTGGCATGGCGTCCTGCCATGGAAGAATGAATGTAGCAGAAACCATGCACTATTTCTTTTGCTTTTGGAATGTGCAATGAAGGCACTTCTGGATTACTTCAGTGGCCATAATGGGTCCTTAAAATGTGGTACATTTTTCAAATCTCTCCTGCAGCCTTGTTTCAGTCCAACCAGTGTAAACACACCAGTGAAGCATCTGTTGTTCGGGCAATGTTCTTTAAGTAGACTCCTATTAATGTAGAACAGACCAGATTACTGGATTCCTGATTGCCCATCTTGTTTAACACATGGTTTGTGGGTCAGTAACTGTTACTCATGCTGCTGTTGCAATGTTCACAAACAACTTGTACAGACGGCTAAGATTGTGGAGCCAATCCAGGGCATCAGATGTCAGCGATAGTGCTTTACAAGCATCCTGGGTGACCAGATTTGCACATTGGGTGCCACAGCGAACATCCACAGTGTACATATGTGCATCCGTCTCATCATGACGTGTGCTGTTTTTATTTTGTCTGATGTATTTGCTGCTCCATTTCCAGCCTGGACTTAGCTTGTCAGTCTAGAAAATGACCAGCTAAAACCAGCTTGACCAGCCTGGTTTAAGCTGGACATAGCTGATTTTGGCTGATCTCCCAGCCTGACCAGCTAAGACCAGGCTAGAAATGGCTGGAAACCAGCCTGGAAATGGCCAAAACCCCTCTAAAACCAGCCTGGTCGACCAGCTAAAACCAGCCAATCAGCCTAGGCTGGTTTAAGCAGTTTTCTTTTCAGTAGGGAACACTATCGAGAATATAAAAAATGACCACCCATGGCATTAATTAAGTGGTGAGGCCTGGTTGTTGCATTAGTTGTGTGTTGTCACCATGTTCAGGAGATGCTGTTTCTATAATCAAATATATTGTTTCTTATTAACACCTATTAACCCTTTGACTGCCCCTCTACCAAATGGTTGACCATGTTTTTACTGATTTAAATAACGACTGTTGAAGTCATTTAAAGAATGACCGTTCTAAATAATGGTTTACACACACACACACACACACACAGCATTGTTGGTTTACAAAAAAAAATCAAACCAAATCCTGTTGCACAACTACACTTGATTTTGGTTTCATTGTAAAAAAAGGAAACATATTCATTGAGAATCTGAAATATTTTATGGCATACTTAAAAATAAAAGTGATTTAGTGTTCAAAAATATCCAAAATAAAACATTTTTGTTTATTAGTGTTACACTTCATATTTTTAGATTTTTCATAGTATATGTATTAAGTCCAGTACTTTTACCAAAAACTGAGAGGTTGGTAGAGATTGATATTTAGAAATTATGGAATGTGTTGGGAAAAAAATGCATTGAGTGTGTTAACTAGTGACATTACAAGTTAAGAAATGCAATCCAAATTTTTTTTTCTTGGTGGGGTAGTTTAAGGGTTAAAGGCACAAAGTCCCAGAATAAATATAGCTTATTGATCAAAACACATTGTACCATTCACCCTAAAGCTAGAATTGTGTTTGTATTCTGTAATAATGTACTCTGTTGTGTTCATTCTCAATTGTTATTGTATGTTTTTCAGATTGTTATATATGGGGAAATACCAAAGAAAAAGGAGAATGTGGTTTATCTGTCAAACCATCAGTCTACAGGTTGGAACATATAGTTGACAAGATATAATAACTTGTATTATATAACCACCAAGGTGCCATTTGTAATGATTTGTTCTTCCGTTTAGCTGACTGGATTATTGCTGATATGTTAGCCATTCGACAAAATGCAATTGGACACGTTAGATATGTCCTGAAAGATGGTTTGAAGTGGCTCCCTTTGTACGGGTGGTATTTCTCACAGGTAGGTAATGGAACTGTTGCACACATATTCATAAAACAGGAGCACCAAATTTAGTACAAATATTGCAGAAATCCATTAATTTATATCTGATTGATAGTTTTTTTTAAAAACTCAATTACAGAGTTTTATTACATAAATAAGAATGCATGTCAATAATGTGATAATGATTGATGTGTTTCACAGCATGGAGGTGTGTATGTGAAAAGAAGTGCCAACTTTGATGAGAAAGCCATGAAGAAGAAACTATCATCTCAGACCAGACTGAGCACACCTGTGAGTATACTCCTATATCACTCTCTGAATGAAAATCCTGAAACTGAGCTGATTTAATAAAAGGCAAGATGAGGAAGACCTGAAGAGACTGTCCTATGTTGCATTATTAGCGTTAATAAGAGCAGAGTTTAATTTCCAAGCTGTCCAAATCACCACATAGAGAAGTTATAGATCTTTCTCCAGTATGTATTAACTGTTTTATGTAATGGCTTCTGGTTGATTTATAATGTGTCTCAAGCTGTAATCATTTTAGAAATTCAAAGTTTTTCAAACCATTAACCTGGACCATTTCCGCTTTAACCTTACAGGTAATAATACGCCTACCTCAAAGTATTTTTTTCTTAATATTGCCGACATTAAAAACAAATCCATGCTATTGAACTTTCTCCTAGATAATTAATTCAACAATCACTAAAATTGCTCAACATTGAGTCAATGTGTTGAGGATGCTTTATTGTGAGCAGATTTTTGATATCTAGAACGGTTTGGCCATGGCAAAGCGGTTAATAATAATGAGAAATAGGAAACTGGAACTGTGTAATTAAACCTCAGATAAGAGGAAAAGTCCTTAGAGGAACAATAGGGCCCTTTGTCCCTTTGGCTTGGCTCCTAATAATAAATGGAGCAATTCTGCCACACCAAGCAGTCAGCAGCCTCTGCTTATGACATTAATGCCAACTGCCGTGACTCAACTTACTGACAAGCTATACAACAAACAAAGCACAAGACCCTTTACACCTCTCTGAGCTATTGACAATGGACAGTTTTGTTTGCAGAATGTTTTGCTAATCTAACTATAATAAGTGTCTTTTATTGTAAATTTTTATTATACAATTTTGCCAAATCTGTAGCCTTTTTCTTGACATAAAAAGTGACCCTTCAACTTATCTCTATGTCCCTGTATGGAAAATTATTGGTAAAATATACTTTTTTTCTATGTGTGCACCGATATGGATATTTTGGCTGATATCGATAACCAATAACTCTTAAGATTTGGAGGCTGATATACTATAGGCAATAATTATAAATATTTTGAAATGTGATATTTTTATACAGTGAACAACTGATATTATTTTAAAAACTTCATAAAAGTTTGAACTGCTCATATGAACGGAATAGCCTACACAAAGCAAAAAAATATATATATAATTAAAAAATTGCAAGGAATGAATATAGAACTAAATTCATGATATTATAGCGTGCCAAAAATAAATGATTTCCTTTTCTTCGTATGGCAAATGAACATGCAACTTGACTGTTGTATAAAAATAATGGTTAAGTAATAAAATAGCACTTAATCAATTAACAAGTTTAATAAATGTATTTTAATGAAAATGGAAGAACTAAGAACCGAAAGCAGCTCAAATGTTCGTGAATAAAACATGTTACAGTAATGTACAGTTGAAGTCAGAATTTTTTTGATAGTCTGCAGAACAAACCATCGTTATACAATACTTTGCCTAATTACCCTAACCTGCCTAGTTAAGCCTGATTTATACTTTTGCGTTAAGTGATCGGCATGACCCACAGCACATGCAACGCGCGTAGCTGTGCATTTGTACTTCTGTGCGCTATTTTTGTTGCTTTGCAATAATTGGCAGTAATGTAGAAAGTACGATTTTGATACAACATCTGAGCATTGAGCACAGATGACTTTATGACAAACACAGTGCATAATGTAAAGACAGAATGTGACGAACGGTTGAGAACCCCTATGCTGGATTCAATGTCAGGTGCACCTCTCCCCGGTGCTGCTGTGAAGGCTCTGTCGGCTCACTATGTGTGTGCGCGTGGGCTCCTAGCCATCACAAGCGCTCATTATAATCATTATAAATATGCAGATCAAACTGAATACAGTCTTACATCAACAACACATGGCAAGCAACATATTAATCATATTACAAACAACCCAACGAGTTTCTTAGCACATGTGCATCTTTGCTATTTTGTTTACACATGTAATATTTTTCCTGAGGCGATTTAAAATAAAATACACAATAAAACATGAAAATGAAGTCTGAACAAGTTCTGCCCATGCAAGTGCGAGGCAGGCAGTTCTGTACAATTACATAATCTATCGGCTTAAAAGATAACGGCCTAATTTTGACATTGGAACGATAACCTTAAAAATAGCATTTATCATGCCGATAACGATATGGCCGCCGATATATCATGCATCCCTACTTTTTCCTGTGACATAATCAGAGATATAGCACTTTATACAGTCATAAAGGTGACTCTCATACTATGGTTTGGAGCCAAGCTTATTCCCTTCATCGTGAGCAGGGAGATCATTTTTTTATGTCACTCCTTGTATTCTAATATTCCAGATGTATGTGTATTGTATTATTTCATTTTAAGTTGGACACAAATGACAAATGCATAACTGGAATTGACCTCTCATTACTGTGATTTGATCTCAAGTGCTGCATTTCATAACAGTTTATTTTTTAATTGGTTGTTTTCCTGCACAGATGTATCTTGTCATCTTCCCAGAGGGAACCCGCTACAACCCTGAGCTAAAGAAGGTTATCAGCGACAGCCAGGCTTTTGCTGCTAAACAAGGTAATGTTTTCCTCTATAGAGCTGCCCTTCAGGTACAGCATGTGTTCTTCCATTACTTTAAGGGTGCTTTCACACCTGTGAATTGATTCAGTTGTTCCGAAACAGAGATTACAATTGTTACATTGTTGCTGTTTGCTCTTGGAGCGGTTCGCTTTCACACTGCAAAGTTTCTAATCGGACCAAAAGAGCTCAAACAAGTCACGTGCGAGTAAACTCTCCTCACATTGGTCAGAGTGTCAGGGTTTATTTTGCAGCGTCCCGCTCAGCTGTCAGGAGAGGTGGTGGTTTGGTGGTGATTGACAGGGTGCGCGCGCGTGACGTGTCTGAGGAGAGATGTGGTGGGTAGGGGTGAGAAGGGTGCGTGACGATGCCTATTTGAGGACCGGGAGGGAGACGCAAGATTACTGGTAGATCATCACTCATTTGCGGGCATCCGGAGACTGGCGAAACTTCCCGCCGTACTCATAATTCTCTCTTCATATAGCCATAAGCCTATTACATATCCATAAAATACTGTGATATAAGCGCGCTCGGATCGGATTGCTTTCTCACTGCAATCGAACCGCTCCAGGGTTCGTTTCAATCGAGCCGAGACCACCTCATTCAAGCGATCTCGGAGCGATTACTTTGGCGCGGAACAGAGCGCGATTGCCCTGTTCACATATGCCAATCGAACCGCGCTAACTGGGCAAACGAGATATGCTCCGAAACAAAAGTGTAGGTGTGAAAGCACCCTTAGTCTACTTGAAACCAAACTAGGAAATAATGAAAGCATTATGTAAATAATATATAAATAATTTAATTAATATAACTTATTTCTAACACAACAACAAACTCGTATGGGATGTCATTCCCTCTCTGTAAATGCTAGCGCTCCCAGTTTTTTCTGCAACCTTTCTGCACGCTCATCCTGAATGTTTACAAACATGGTAATTCATCTATTGATGAAAGTGAAGCAAGTAAACCTAGAGAGAAACCAGGCTCAGCTGGGCACGACCACTTCTCCTCCGGCCAAACTTCTTGTGCAAAGCTGCAGACTAGCCACCGGAGCAGATCACAGTTTGACCAACTAAATTTCTAGTCACTTCTTCTCATCTATTACAGGACTTGCTGTGCTGAATCACATTTTAACACCAAGAATGAAAGCGTCGCATGTCGCCATTGAGACTATGCGGGAACACCTGGACGCTGTCTATGACATAACCGTTGCATATGAGGGCACTCTTACAGCCGACGGCCAGAGACGTCCCGCTCCTACAATGCCAGGTGTGTGGTTATACGTTCCGCTTGCAAACAGCACTGGCGTTTTCCTCAACTGAAACAGAGGAAGCAGAGAAAACGCAGCAGACATAGTGTTATCTCATTGATTGAGGGCTGGTGAAACGCGGATATGTGAATTTCCTGTCAGTTCCTGTAAACAGCGTGTGTTGGAACGTGTTGTTTTCCGGTAGTTCCTCAAAAACATTAAAGGAAAAGAAGCTTTCATGCAGAAACATCCTGTTTTTCACAGGAATAAACAGCAGTGGTATTTGTGGAGCTATATTTCGTAGGATGTTGTGCCTGCATTCTTTAAGGAATAAAACAACAAACACTTCTGCAGAAATGAATGCGTCACAGACCCAGAGTATCAGGAAAATATTTTCACTCATCACTGTACATCACTATTGAGGTTTAACATGTAAACAGTAATGTTGTGCATTTAGAGATCATTTCTTTTGAGTGTTTCCTATGTAAGATACAGTTGCTAACCACAGTCTGAATTTTATAAGGCACCACACTTTTCATAATTCTGTATCTCGTGATCATTTTTTGCACTCAATTCAGGATGTAAATCAACAAAGGGCTAAGCGCTTCTGTGCTACTTGACTGCAGAACGCTGAAAATGTTGTGCTACTATTTCTTTTCTCTTATTCACATTCTCTTTGCAATAGAGTTTCTGTGTAAGGAATGCCCCAGGGTGCACATCCACATCAGCCGTGTAGACATAAAGGACATTCCTGCTGAGCCTGACGTTTTCCGTGGGTGGCTACATCAAAGATTTGAAATCAAGGACAAGTGAGTATTTGAAAGTGATTTTAACCTCTTTCTATCACCCACAATATAACTAAACCCCATGTTTTTGTAAATGTTTATATTTAATATATTGTTTCAGCATTGCTATCGCTATAGTCACATCGCAGGATTTGTAAAGTTGAGTCTGTTATAGTTTCATATTTTTGTGTTTTTGAGGCCTTTGACTGTATAATGATTTTTAAAGCATTCAGGTGTAAGCAATTGTACCGTTTGTAAAGGTTTTTGCACGCTGAAGTCTGAATTTTCTTTTTTTTAATTTTTTTAACTTAGTTTTTATAGATTTTTTGGGAACATATAACCAGTGGGAACAAAAAAAGTAAATAAAAATAATACATATATACATAAATATACATATGTATACATACTTGTATAGGCACATACATCCATTCCACACATGTATAGCCATGTACATATACGCATAAAAATATTAAATTAACCTCATCAAAATAAATTAAGTATAAGATAAATTATAATAAAAGGTTGCCAAACATATTTTCACAATGATACATAACCTCTAGAATTATGTAAATATTCAATTATAAATGTTTATATTGTCGTTGAGGAGAAAGCCAGCCATTTACTCCATTACTTTTCAAAGGTTTCTAATTGTAATCGAAGTGCATATGTCATTTTTTCCATTTCCTTAACTTCTGCTATAATTTTGAACCATTCGTCTTTAGTTGGTGGCCCTTCCTTATACCATTTCCGGGTTATAGCTTTTTTTACTTGTTGCCAAAAATATCTTAAATAGACATTTGTTTTCCTTTTTAAGATTAATAGGAGTATCTCCCAGATAAAGTACTTCAAATGATTGAAGTCTGAATTTTCATGTTTTTTTTTTTTCCATAGTGATCCGTGAAAAATTCAACATGTAAACAAACCTTGCACACCGAGTCCGACGCGTAATAATTAATCCATTAAGAAAAAGCACAAACATTTCGGAGTCAATTTAAGCAGTGATACTTTGTTCTCCTCTCTTCTCCAAAGTAGAAAAAGAAAGAGGAATAAGCTACATATTGGGTTCATCCATTAGTGCATGGAGGAAGGAGAATTCAGCTCATTATCAAAGAGCTGCACTGGATTATACCCAAATGCTAAGTTTATTTAACGAAATCAGTGGAATTTTGATAATTTTGAATTTTGATTGCTTGTGATAATTCACGTACAAAAACTTTGTATTCAGTGTGCGATAACCTTAACTTTATTAACGATTAATTTTGTAGAATTTTTTGTATTATACAATTGCTGTCCGACATTAATAAAAATATTTTGGTAAATTAATCATTATTAAAGTTACAACCGGTACAATTTCCTATGCCTGAATACTTTAAAAATGACCATAATTTCAATTGTATCTTTTTTAAAGAATTGTATATATCTGTTTGTAGATGGTTTATTATATTTTATCCAGATGCACTTCTCTATAAAATAATCCCATTCAGTCTAAAATGACTCGTTCTTTCCAAAGAAAGATATTCAAGTCATCTGGTGGAATTGTATTCATATCGTAATGTATATCACAGAATAATAAAATATTGACAGGACGGGTTGTATAGGTTTAAAATACAGCACTGAAAGGAGTATTGAACATGTCACCATTGGATGTGGATAACAACCAAAGAATCCATACATGCAAAGAAAACAAATCTAATTAGTTTACAAAGTAAGTTATGTGTAATCAAATGAAATGACCCAGAGAAAAAGTATTGAACGCATGAAGAAAGGGAGGTGTAGTAAGGCAGTAAAAGCCCAGACAGCAGCTGAAATCTCTCAGTAGTTCTTCAGCAACCCTCTGACCTTCGTTATGGTAATTTACCATCAGCTGCTTCAGTCCAACATCTGCATTATCAGGATGATGAAGATGAAACCAGGGTGGAGATTTCAGCAAGACAATGATCCAAAACACAGTCTCTCAGATGCTTTCAGAGAAAGACAATCAAGCTGTAGAATGGCCCAGCCAATCCCCTGACTTGAATCCAATAGAAAATACAAAATAAAGCTCAGATTTGATAGACGAGACCCACAGAACCATCAAGATTTTGACACTCTGTTGAAGTTTGTGAAAAAGTCACACCTGAGTAATCCATGCGACTTCATTCTCCATATGAGGCTGCCATAAAAAAACAAAACAACCTTTTATATAAAGTAGTAAACATGTTTCAGTAGTTCTGCACTTCCTCCTGATGTCATTTCCTTGTTATTACACATTATTAACTCTTTTTTTTTTAATGTTTGTATTGTTTGGGTTTTTACCAAAATCTGGTTCAATGTCATGTCAACAGCTCCTTCAGAAACATTATTCCCAGGAAAAAACATGACGTATTCAGTGCTTATTTTCTCCACTGAAGCATATTTATGATGATTTAGGACATTGTGTTTCACACATGTAGCAAAATAACAATTAAGTTCAACTTGAACTTGAAAACTATGGTGAAGGTATTAAAGGTTCAGGACACCCTGGAGAACTTTTTTTTAAATATATTAACAGATTTGTGTGTGTTGAGCATCAGTTAAGACAATGTTAGCACCTGTCAGCTTAAATTGTGGGGAAAACTGGGTAATTTAGCTTTTGTCAGCTAATTTCAGCTTCCGGGTTTAAAATGATTTTTGGGGCGGGATCAAAATCAGCGACGTAGCGCAGTACTGCAAGTGCAATTGATGACGCGTCGGTTTCTCATTATTATTCATAGTGGAGTTTTCTTATCCTATGAGAAGAGCCGGCTGCTTAATTATTCATGAGACCTGCCAGAGTCAAGCCCGAGCTGTGAGACATGTCACGGACCTACGGCACACAGTATTTGGCCGTTCATGAAGGCTCATATGCGTTTTTTTCCATGATCCACGGGGTTTGTTGCATGTTTTCCCCCGCGATCTTGTCAGGGCCGATCATACAGCAAAGCTATGTGTGTGCTGCTAGCATTTTTGTCTGCAGAGCAGCATGAGAATTAGAGAATGGCGGACGCTGTCTTTTATCAGGATTCACATTCAGACACATCACTGTGCTGCTGTGTTTGCCTAAATCCTCCAGATTACCAGCAGGGCTAACGGTTAAAATAGACAGGTCAGGAGACCTGCTGCACTGAGTCTGCTGGATACGGGGATTGAGGGAGAAGTCCTCATTTATAGTGTTTACATGAACACATTTATCTTTATAATGATATAAATTGTGGTTATGTGTATATGAAATTACGAATAACAAATGTAGCAGGGCATTAAATCACTGTTCATTTCTTTGCATTTTAACTTTGTAAACTATAAACTCATGCGTCTCCTCACGGTATGTCTCATTTTGTGAGCTGGCTTCGTTCGCTCACATTCTCCCCTGCTGGACACGCCCACTCCTGCCCTATGCTCGCGGAGCTCCACGCCCATTAATCATGCATCTTCTGAAAAAATTCTGAAGTAGACTTTAACCGAAAGTGGGGGGTGTCATGGCCCTTTAAGAAACTGCAGTTAAAACTGCTAAGAGTTACATCAAGCATACAGTACTCAAGCAGAAGGCTACTGCAGGTACCTCCACCATTTTAGCAGCAAATGCATTTGTATTTTCTACTTGCTGATAGTCTAAGAAAAGCACTGTAGTAAAACCTTATTCAAAGGACAACATGCAATAATATAGCTATTCTGCTATACACTATAAAGCAACACTTTTGAATGGATTGCTTTCACTTTTGTATTCACCATTTGATGTACTTTTAGTGGTGTGAAATGTGGCTTCCTGTTTCCTGTCTGCTCGCTGCCTGCAGGTTGCTTGTAGTTCTAGCTTTAACTCTGTCTGAATTTTTTATTTTATTATCAGTCATTTTGATTTAATCTGATAAACACACAACTTTTTAATATTTATATGCTTCATGTTAACCTGTCAACCACATTTCGGACTCCTAAAACCTGAAAGCTGCTAGCTGGTCATACAGACGGTAGTCAAACACTTAAAAAATGCTTACTTAGATTTTTTTTGTCTTGTTTCTAGTCCAAATATCTGAGAATTCCTAAATCATGAAGCATTTTCTAGACAGTCAAAACATATTGTCTTGTTTTCAGAAATAATATGTTAAAATAAAGCAAGCTTTTCCTTCAAATAATCTGCCAGTGGAGTAAGCAAAATAATCCAGTTTTTCCTTTTGGCATAAGTTAATTTTGCTTTCCCCATTGGCAGATCATTTTGCTTGTTTTATTAAAAAAAAAGAAAAAATTAGCATGTCTAGAAAATGCTTCTTGATTTTAAGATTTTTTTTTTTTTAGATATTTGGGCAAGAAAAACGACAATCTATGTAAGAGAAGCATTTTCTGCAGTGTACAATCACACACACGTGAGCGAGTAAGTGTTTGTTTATGCAACTGTTCAATGGCATAAGTCTGTAAATAATAAATAAAACCAACCGTGGAGCGGATCAAAATAACTTTGAATAAGGAACTTTGTACTTTCAAAATCACAGTTAATTGACTGAGCAAGCATCTCCTTTCCAATTACAAAACAGTCTCTTGTTGCCATCTAAAGGAGGAATAATGCAATTACTGAATTTAATCCCCCTTACAAACATACACACAGGCCATTTCCCAATACCAAAAACTCTATAAAAGATTTTTGTAACCACAATAGGCTATTTAATAAATTAAGCAATCGCTAAAATGGTTATGAATAGTTATTAGCATATCATAAAAACATCAAATATACACTCACCAGCCACTTTATTAGGTACACCTGTCCAACTCCTCATTAACACGAATTCCTAATCAGCCAATCTCATGACAGCAGCTCAATGCATTAAGGCATGTAGACATGGTCGAGATGACCTGCTGCAGTTTAAACTGAGCATCAGAATGAGGAAGGAAGGTGATTTAAGTGACTTTAAACGTGGCATGGTCTTGTATCAACTGTTCAGGCTGGTGGTGGTGGTGTAATAGCGTAGGGGATATTTTCTTTGCACACTTTGGGCTCATTAGTACCAATTGAGCATTGTTGTCAATGCCACAGCCTACCCAAGTATTGTTGCTGACAATGTCCATCCCTTTATGACCACAGTGTACCCATCTTCTGATGGCTACTTCCAGCAGGATAAAGCGCCATGTCATAAAACATGAATCATCTCAGACTTGTTTCTTGAACATGACACGAGTTCACTGTACTCAAATGGCCTCCACAGTCACCAGATCTAAATCAAATAAAGCACCTTTGGGAATTTGCGGAACGTGAGATTCACATTATGGATGTGCAGCCGACAAATCTGCAGCAACTGCCTGATGGTATCATGTCAATATGGAGCAAAATCTCTGAGGAATATATAACACACATAAAAACATTAAGCAGCTCCAGATGTTTTGTGTTTACATTATGATTAAAGTTGTTGCATGTCCGCTGGTTCCCAACCTCTGAATACGCGAGTTTTAGCTACTTATACATTAGGGTAGCGTTCAGAAAAAAAACACCTGCAAAGAAACTCAGCACAGAGGAACATAACATTACCCACTGCCAGCTAGTGTTTCGGAAGTGTTGTTGCAGAGCAACACAAAGAGCATGCAGAAGTTTAAATGCACAGCTACGCTCAAGGCAGACGCCATGGGTCATGCCTATGACTTGACACAGAAGTATAAATCAGCCTTAATGTGTAGGTGTCAAGTTATTTTGTGCAGGAGATACTGTTTCTCTAAAACACTCTGAAAACACATATACAGTTAAAGTCAGAATTATTAGCTCCCCTGTTTATTTTTTTAACCAATTTTTTTTAACGGAGAGAAGATTTTGTCAGCACATTTCTAAACACAATAATTTTAATAACTCATTTCTAATAACTGATTTATTTTATCCGTGCCATGATGATGACTACATAATATTTTACTAGGTATTTTTTAAGACACTTCTATACAGTGACATTTAAAGGCTTATTTAGGTTAATTAGGTTAACTAGGCAGGTTAGGGTAATTAGGCAAGTTATTATATAATGATGGTTTGTTCTGTAGACAGTCGGGGGAAAGAAAAAAAAAAAAAAAAAAAATATATATATATATATATATATATATATGTATATGTATATATGTATATAGATATATATAGCTTAAAGGCACTAATAATTTTGACCCTAAAATGGTACATAATAAATTAGAAACTGCTTTTATTCAAGCTGAAATAAAACAAGTAAGACTTTCTCCAGAAGAAAAAATATTATCAGACATACTTTTAAAATTTCCCTGTTCTGTTAAACATCATTTGGGAAATATATAAAAAACAGAAAAAAGTGCAAAGGGGCTGATAATTCTGCCTTCAACTGTACATATACCACAGGTTTATGGTACTACAACAAAAATGTTACTTTTCCAAACCACAGTAAACCTTGAACCTGATTATCATCCCATTCCTAAATATGAGTATTAAAAAGATAATTAAAGGCAAAAATAAAATGTTATTATTAAAATCTCTCTCTTCTTTTTCTAGGCTTCTGACTACTTTCTATGAGTCTGAAGACCCTGCCAAAAAGAGCAGGTTTCCTGGAGAAGGTCGTAAATCACCTCTTAGTCTTTCGAAGACGTTGCCTTCTCTGCTGATTTTGAGTGGCCTCACTTTTCCAATGCTGTTAACCGAGTCAGGTAGAAAACTCTATCTCAATACCTGGCTCTATGGGACTCTTATCGGATGGATTTGGGTAGGTCTAAGTCCATAACATAGCCATACTGGAGGAGAAAAAATATCCAGCTCATATCAACGCTTTTAGGTTTCGTAATCGAATGTCATTTTTTTCAGATCTAGCTTTTAGTCTACCATTATCTTATCATTTACTGAAAAGTCACTTATTTCTGGTTTATTTTTCACTCTAGTAGAATGTAAACGGTTCTACTGTATGCACTGCAAAGAAGCAAATAAACAACATGAACATTCCAGTTTACAACACGCCAATGCATCGCTGCGCAAACTAACCAATGTCAACAGAGACGATATGTTGGGTTTTTGTCAGATTGGCGAGTTTTCTGTTGGTATCGGGTGGGATTCTGCAAGTCAATAACCATATTTTGGTGATCGTCCATGATGGTTAGCTTCTGTCCGTTCCATTGCATCACATCATTTTAATACGTAAATTCAGTGTTAAGGTTTCCTCTCAACTGTAACCTCAAAGCAGACATTTGAAGCGAAGAACGAAATGTCATGCAGAGACAATGTTTTGTATTAACCCATAGCAGGCCTGGAACTTGTGCCCTCACAAGTATGCAATTTTTTTCCCTCTCTCTATCTGTAATTCTGGATTTTATTAATGATTTATAACGGCGGGATGTTGTTAATGGTTTACAGGGCCTATTTTTCAATGTTTTTGAAGTAAACCAGTACGTTAAGCGTTGGATTTTGGTATCGGTTATCTCGTATTCGGATTTAAACGTCCATCGAATAAAGCATTTTATTTTGAAGCATTTGCACTGTTGTTTCAGACTTGGTTGCCAAATGTGGTGGTTGTAAGGGTGTTGATTTAAATAAGTCAAATGAATTGTTCCAGAATATGTGATTTAGCTTTTGTTTGAAGAATTTTCACTTTTTTTGTCTATAAATTTAATTAAGAGCAATAATTTGGTCTACATAATAGGGTTTTCACGATACTAGAATTCGATACCAATCGATACTGAAATATAAAAAGGTCCATTTCCCACAAATATTTAAGTGCTGTGGAGCAAGATCTTAAATGATACTGATTTGCCGTTGTGTTTGTGGAAATGACTGTGAAATGACTGTGATTGGCTGTGAAGGTCATCGGTTCACCGAACTCACCGCTGTTTACTGAGTGTAACCACAGCTACAGGGACACTGGAGCATTTCGAAGTCACAGCGATCAGCTGGTTTGTTTATAAGCTGACACGCAATCGTTCCGCTGATAAATCACGGCTTTAAAATGCTCCAGTGTCCCTGTATCTGTGGTTACACGCAGTAAACAACGGTGAGTTTGGTGAATCACAGCCAACCAAAGTCATTTCTGTTGAGCATGTGAACACAATGGCAAATCAGCTCTGTTTATAAACATGCTCAAATGTTCATGGGAAATGGACGTTTTTAAAATGTCAGTATCGATTGGTAACAACATTCCAGTATCGTGGCAACCCTACTACACAAGACGACTGTGATATTTTATTATGGACCGTATTGGTTTATTTTAATATACAATGTCTGACCTCATCTTATTCAAATCCTACTTCCACGATTGGTTGCTTTTATTAGCACTAGCCAATTGAATTCAACTTTAACTATTTGTTGATTTAAAAAAATAATTTCATTAAATGCTGCTGGAGCTTTGTAGCTATAGTAGGCGTTCGCTTCAGCTGGGCTGCCTTTGGAAGATTGTAGATCTAAAGATTGACATTTAAAGTATTTGTGGACTTATAGGTGATTGCACCCACTCATCGCTTATAATGTGTGATTGTCACTGATATCCACAATCTACCAATATATTGATGCGAAACGTAAAAGTATGGAGACACACACAGCATTTAAAGCAGTATAAAAAAGTCATAAGCACACACGGTTATCTTATCAAGCCCTAAAATACAGACTGTGTGAAGAGAATCATGTGTCGTGTATGTTTTGGATAATTCACTGTCTGTAAAGAGACTCATGTATGTTTGGATAAAAGCATCTGCCAAATCCAAATGATGATTTGTGTGTGTTAAAATGTCCGTGTCTGTACTTCTCATGTACATGTTGCTTCTTTTAATAACACAAATGCTTTGTTTAATTTCTTGCTGTTAATCTTTTCTTTTCGGTATATTTTTGCAGGGGGGGGAAAAAAAAGTTTTTTTCTTGAATGAAATCATTTGTTGGTGTTAGTTTCTATTATCTTTTTATTTCCTTTTTTAAAGATGTATCTATTTCAGGAGTGTTTAATAAAGGAACTGAAAATGTGCAGTGCTGCGGGTATTTCAGGTGGTTGTCAAGTCATCTTTTGGTATACAGCACTTTATACTGTTTTTAACTACAGCGGTTCAAACTGTAGTTTGCCGAATGGTGTTGTGGTTTTCGGCTTTTCTCTTAATGAATGAAACTCAGTCTGGAGGTTATGAATATCAAAAGAATATACTTTATTGGAATATTTTCCAAAAAAGCAGTGACAGCCTGGAGCAGACCCATCAGGGTGCTTTCACACCTGTGAATCGATTCAGTTGTTCCGAAACAGAGATTACAATTGTTACATTGTTGCTCTTTGCTCTTGGAGCGGTTCGCTTTCACACTGCAAAGTTTCTAATCGGACCAAAAGAGCTCAAACAAGTCACGTGCGAGTAAACTCTCCTCGCATTGGTCAGAGTGTCAGGGTTTATTTTGCAGCGTCCCGCTAAAAGCTGTCAGGAGAGGTGGTGGTTTGGTGGTGATTGACAGGGTGCGCGCGCAACATGTCTGAGGAGAGACGTGGTGGGGAGGGGTGAGAAGGGTGCGCGACAATGCCTATTTGAGGACTGGGAGGGAGACGCAAGATTACCGGGAGATCATCACTCGTTTGCGGGCATCCAGAGACTCGCGAAACTTCCCGCCGTACTCATAATTCTCTCTTCATATAGCCGTAAGCCTATTACATATCCATAAAACACCGTTATATAACCGCGCTCGGATCGGATCGCTTTCTCACTGCAATCGAACCGCTCCAGGGTTCGTTTCAATTGAGCCGAGACCACCTCATTCAAGCGATCTCGGAGCGATTACTTTGGCGCGGAACAGAGCGCGATTGCCCTGTTCACATATGCCAATCGAACCGCACTAACTGGGCAAACGAGATACGTTCCGAAACAAAAATATAGGTGTGAAAGCACCCTCAGTCTCTCCCCAGGAAAAATCCCAAGTGTCTGTGCTCTTCACAATATTTATACTGATTTTCTCTCCCCACCTCTCTCGTTGTAACTCTACTTTAGGATGTTTTCTCTTTACTGAGGGGTTTAGCAGGGTTCAACTCTAAGGATTTCTTCTACTGATCCGATCGGGGAAGTGGTTTAGATTTTTACTCGCCCAGGCAAAATTTTTACTGGCTCCACCACCACAAAAAAAAAAGAGAAGTTAATAACTATTTTAACCACATATTTTAAATCATGTGTCAAAAATAATGTCTGTGGATCTAGAATTTCAATACTTAAAAATGTTGATAAATGTATAATAAACAAAATTCAAAGTGTTATGCAAACAAAAAGCTGTGTGGAAAATGTGGAGGGTATTTTATTGCAGTTCAAAATTATTCAACAAAAGGTCAAACTGATGGCAAATTGTGCAAACATCACACCACATTTTTTTTTTTTGTATGGTTCCCATGTAAATGTCTGCTTCCAAGGCGTTAAAAACAGACATTATCTTTTAGCCTTTGTAAGGCTTGAAACTTACGCTGCTATTCTAAACCAATAATCGGAAACAGAAAGCAGGATGGCGTGTTTAAATCCATTATTTATCTGACTCCATTAAAGTTGTTATCATCGTTGATAAAGAGAAAGAATCTCAAAGCTAAAGCAGGCAAAGTTGTTTATTAAGTTACATGTTTAAATATACAGACAGTAGAATGAAACAAACTAGCATACTGTATAAAGAAATTAGCTGTAACATATGCACTGCTGAGCAACAAAGACAGTAAAACTGCCTTTGTTAGCATATGAGGCTACGCACCGGTGTGCGGGAGATGCAGAGTAAAAGCCATTCTCCCAGATCGACAGTTACCTTTCTTTCTTATACCCTGAGCAAAGCATTGTCAAACATGAGTGAAAACCAACCCCCAAAACCAGCTGAACATGAGAACAAAGTTGAAGAGATGAAGTGGGGGAGAAGAACATTAACATACTCTCCTCAGGCAATGACCCAACAATAGTTAATATATTGTAGATTGAAATACAATTAATTAATGTCTCTGTTGATTTCATAACTACAACACTGAAGTCATAAACTGTCAAATGACACCAAACATGACAAAGTTATCTGAAGGAGGATCACAAGCAGATGAATTGTGTATGGTGAAGAGCACATGGTTACTGTAAGCAAATGGCAGAGATGTGTATTGAAGCTGTGAGGAACTCTGCCTCACCAGGAAGACCCATCCCATGCTTGGAATGTCTCAGTAGTCCTTCATTAGCATAGAAGGAAAAGTATATAATATTTTCTCAGCTTACACCTTATAATTTGATGTTGCCATTTCTTTGCTGTACTGGTTGTTATTAGGTAATGGGAAAAACTGCAAGCTCAAAATATCAAATCACATAAGAGGAACCAAAAAGCAATTTAGTGTTTAAGACATCACAGAGAAGATCGCAGTTAAAGACTTAAAAGCACAAATTTAAAATGCAAGCAATTGACAAATAGTCGCAGTCAAATTAAACTTTAGTGACAAGGCAGCACTGTCCCAATTGGGCCAGTAATGATCCCGTCTACTGTCCCAAGCGTCTCTCACGCTGACCCTGGACCACCGGGCAGTCCTTATTGTTGAGCCCTGTTTAGTATATCTTTAGGTGCTCATGCTGTTCTAGGCCCCTATGCCCTACAATGCAAACACCTGTTTACACACCAGTTTTCCCTCCATAGATTCAATCTTGTCTGAGTGTTTACATACATTGGCATGAAGGTACATTAATGTCATAATATGTCACTCATTCTCCTGAACACCTCTCACAATTATAACTTCATATGTGTGTTTTACTAACACAATCATTGATTTACAAATAAACTCAGCAGCTCCAAACAATAATGACCTTACACATTCCTCTACAGCAGTGGTTCTCAAAGTGGGGGTCGGGACCCCCCGAGGGGTCGCGGGGCAATGAAGGGGGGTCGCCGGGTGATTTCCAAAAATCTATTTATTTTTATTAAACCATAAGAATTAACATATTTTATCCATAACTATACTGAAAATTAAAATAGTCGTTTATAGTTACTATATACTTTATAGTTACTACAGTAGCTTATAGTTACTAGTTCTATTTGATTGCGACCCCTGGGGTAATAACATTATATTAATAGCGTCAGATGCATTTTGATTTTATAATATCAGGTTATACTTTCTGGCACATTTAAAGCACTGACACAAGTTTAATTGGTTGGTCTGCGTCATTGCATGCAAGGTTTTTGTATTTATAACCACCTCAGAGGATATTGGGGGTCGCGAGTCACTGGCATTGTTATTTTGGGGGTCGCGGGCTGAAAAGTTTGGGAACCCTTGCTCTACAGGACACCCATTCTACACACACCACCAGTGGTCATCCTTTCTTCTCAAAATACACCACAAATTGCTGCCCTTTTTCCTCAAAAATACATGTCTAATCATCTCTAGGTGGTTATATAGGTAGACATCTTCACTGCACACTTATTAAGAATAAAATAATCTTTGTCAATGGCTAAAAAATTATCAGTACGATGGTGAAAAACTACATTTCCAGCAAACCATCGTTCTGCAATCTTATACCAAAAACGGATATAAGGGCAGCAGTATTTATAGATAAAAATGTGGGAGTGCACTGCTATTATTTGATTATTATTATTTGATTTGATTATTTTGATTGACAATTATTTTTTTATATTATTTATTTATATTTATATTAAATATAAATTATATTATATTTATTTATATTATTTTTTTGGACATTTAAAGAACAGAATTCGGGGACTGCAGCTTGAGATGCGTTTTAATACGTGATAACTAATGTGCATGCACTGAAGAAAAAAAAATCTTACATGAAGCCACCAACATGACTGTGAAATTACTGTGTCTTCTGCAGGTTTTGTGAGGGTGCAGATTTTTCTGCTCTGTAAAACAAAAGAGAAGAAAATACATGAATTAGCGGTTTTCTATCTTTATTTTTTATATTCCCCCATTTATTTATGCTTTTGAATTGCATTATATTTCCAAAAGCTTTTAACTTTGAAAAGTTCTAAAAAGTCACTTTTATGAACATCTTTATAAGTTTAAAGTGATTTATTGTCAGGGTTGGTGTTGTATATTATGGTACAAAACCTTGTAATAAACTGCCAGTACATTTGCTGTTATTTTACAGATTTCTCTATATATTATTTATCTTACATTATATTATTTCAAACTACTAAAATGTCAACAAAAGTCACTTTGTTACACTGAAGAGTTGAATTTTCAACATCAAAAGGCGACAGAGTAGTGATTAAGATCTTATAATGCAATTCACAACCGTAAATAACCGGAAAACACTTGTAATAAACATGTTTTAGAGTGTGTAAAGGAGACTAGCTTTATCGTTACACAGTGAGCAGCAGTGTGAATCCTAATTATGATTAGTTAAATCAGTAAATATTATCTTGCAAAAGAAAAAGATAACGTTCTCCCTTGTATTTCGATTTTTGTTGTTAAATAAGATATTCAGAGCCTCTTTTAGTTGTGGGAACTGATGATTCTTTTCATGCATTCATTTCATGACCTGCCTTGGAGTCATATATAACCACAGGGATGAACATGTGAATCTTTAAAACACAATACCAAAATATTTTAAGGTGTACTAGCCTATATGAGGATTTGTAAAATCCAAAATACAAGAAGAAAATCCGTTTTAAACTAGCAAGGACTGAACGTTACCTCAGGTTTGCAAATCCTCTTAAAAGGTGAATTTCTGCCATCTGCTGGACTGGAGAGTGGAACATACTGGATATTAGTGACATGATCCTATCCTTACAACAAACAAAATAAATATTCTCTTAATTTTATTCTTTCTCTTTCATAATTTTCACAATATAATAGTATATTTTGCACTGACTAGTACTCCACAATTGTTCCTGGCTGATGTTTGTCACGAACGCTGCCTGGTGAAGCGCTGGAGCCACGCCCTTTCTCATTTGTAATCAGTATAAAGCGAGATCAGCTGGACTGCTTGGCGTGTTTCTGCAGTGAGAAGATTAAGAAATCCGGCGGTCCATTTATTTGGGAGATCAGTTTGGCTCGACAGCAGTCTTATTTTTGTGACTGTTTCAAGGTTTTAAAAGTTCTGAATTTGTTCTGACTTTTGGTCAAGCACAATGGTAAGATCATCATCATTTGTAGTCTGTTTCACCATATCGTTAGTATTTCACTAAAGGCTTTCTAAAAAAAAAAAAATCTATGTAAAGCTTAATTGCATGCAACTAATATGCACTTTAAATGTAATTAACCGTTGCACTTTGGAAACTATCTCTGCTCTCTTGTGTTGAAAAGTTTAACCAAGCTTATTGACATATTAATAATCTTCAAAGAGGTATTAAATGGTGGCATGGCATATAAGAATGTTCTGTAATATAGACCTACATCAGTAGGGTAGCACCTATAAACATGAACTAAGGAAAATGAAAGGGGTAGTTCACCCAGAAGTGTTAATTCTTGCCCTAAAGTAGTTTTAAACCTTTCCCTGCTGAAAAATCCAGCTTAAACTACCTAAACTGGTTGGCTGATTTTAGCTGGTTGACCAGCCTGGTTTTAGAGGGGTTTTGGCCATTTCCAAGCTGGTTTCCAGCCTGGTCTTAGCTGGTTAGCTAAAACCAGCTTGACTAACCTGGTTTAAGCTGGACATTGCTGATTTTGGCTGGGCTCCCAGCCTGGCTAGGCTGGTCAAGCTGGTATTAGCTGGTCATTTCCCAGCCTGACCAGTTAAGACCAGGCTGGAAATGGCTAAAAACCAGCCTGGAAATGGCCAAAACCCCTCTAAAACCAGCCAACCAGCTTATTCTGGTTTAAGCTGTTTTTTTCAGTAGGGTTAAGTTTCTTTATTCTGTACTAAATCAATTTAATAGAGGTTTAAGCTTTTAATTAAATTTAGGTTTAAGTTTTAATAGTGGTTACAGCTTCAAAACATTGTGTTAAACGGGGCTAAAAGTAAAACCGGCGGTTTATAACAAGTAAATGACAATATTTACTTGGGTAAACTCACTTTAGGCCAATTCTCAAACTCAATTCCTGTATGGCTGCAGCGTATAGTTTGGATCCAACCACCTCCAACTCACACCTGCTTGATAGTCTTTAGTAGTCTTGAACCTCCAGCTTAGTTGGATTGGCTGTGTTTTAGGGTTGGAGCAAAACTGTGCAGAGCTGCGCATGAAACCTGTGTTTTAAGGGTTTTACTTTTAACATGCATTAAAAGGAACATTGAAAGTCACATTGCAACTAGGCCACATGCCAGCTAAAGCTCAATGTTAGTAGACCGTTCAGTTAGGGATGCTGTAAGTTATATGTGCAAAGTTTCTTCGGGAGGGCGTCTGCTGGTGGAGCAGTGTCAGCAAACGTTAAATTGTCTACCAATCCAAATACTATTAGTAGACCATGAGCAAAAAGCAATATCAAAATGATGATATTTATTTATTTTCACAGCAGTTTGATTTAAATGTAGTGTATTGTACTATATGGCTGCTTGTGACCATGTCCATCAATGTGTCCGCACTTAATTCTTTTCATGCTTGAGTTCCTGTAGAGGAGATCTTGGTCTTTACACAAAAAACAGCCGCCATTTTAAATGTGTAAATGCTTTAAACTACGAATTAGCAGATGTCACAGGCTGTCTGAAGTGGCATAATTTTTCTTACTGCCTACTGCGTGGTATACATGACACACTGGCTGCTACATTTTAAGAATAGTGTGTAAGGCAGCGTACCCGATGCAAATTGAGGGTAGTGTGCTACAATCCTGTCACGTGACATGTCTGCACTGAATGTTACTGAAACACAACTGCAAATGAATTAACTTGTAAAATCAAACCTGCTGCTTTTATACAAAAACCCTTTCTATTGTTTTCCGTTCATATTTTTTTATTTTTGTAGTATTACTAAACCATTTTAACTGTCACTGTGTGATACTTTTAGGTTAAAGAGTATCTGCAGAGTCCTCGTGCATCTCAGATTTCAGCAACAGTAGTAGAAAATCTGGGGATTTGTTTAAATTTTAGTACAAGTTTGTGGCAGTATGCCCCTAAAATCCAGTTTTATTTGAGCAGGTTCTGGATAATATACTAGGTCATCTGGGTATTCTATGCATGCATTGCCTTATTGATATTTCAGAAATTAGATTTAATATAGCATTTCAAACACGGCCACATTGTGATTTTTATCTATGCTTGTGTTTTGGTCAAACCAGAGGGAGTGCATCTCTATACACATTGGTCAAGCAGGTATCCAGATGGGTAACTCCTGCTGGGAGCTGTATTGTTTGGAGCATGGTTTCCAGCCAGATGGAACCATTGTTGATAGTAGCCGCTCATTGGCTGACTCTAGTTTCGGCACTTTCTTCAGTGAAACTGGTGCAGGAAAATATGTTCCTCGAGCAGTTTTCATTGATCTGGAGCCAACTGTTGTCGGTAAGAGACCCCCATTCAGGCTTTTTACAATTTATTGTTATTTTTTTAATTTTAGAAGCATAGTTTACAAATAACATTTACTTAATGTTTACAATCACATTAAAAAAAAGAAACCGATGGAAATGATAATTGACAAATGATAGATAGTGACTGCTTTTTACTAATTTAAATTTATGAATGCTTTTTTTATTTAATAAATGATTTAAATTTTTTTATTTTTAAATATCACTTGTTTGAAATTCAGATGAGATCCGTAATGGACACTATCGACAGCTGTATCACCCTGAGCAGCTCATCAGTGGAAAGGAGGATGCTGCCAATAATTATGCTCGTGGCCACTATACCATTGGAAAGGAGATCGTAGACTCTGTGCTTGATCGCATGCGCAAAATGGTGAGTTTGCACACTTGAATAATGGTTCTTCATTAGTAACAATTATTGCGTTAACTTAATCTATGTAGTGCGGGGGTGCCCAGTCCTGTTCCTGGAGATCTACAGTCCAGCAGAGTTCAGCTGCAACCTTAATCTAAAGCACCTGTCTATAATTGCCAAGTGCTCCTTCAGATCCTACTTAGTTGTTTTATTGGTTTTTAATCAGGATTGAAGCTGAACTCTGCAGGAACGTAGAACTCGGAGAACAGGATTGGGCACCCTTGATTTGCTGGAGTCAACATTTCAAGGCAATCAGAGCCTTTCAAAAAGTTTTCCTAAAACTATTGAACAACACCCATTCATGTCCTAGGTCAAATAAAAAAAAAAAAACTCTTGATCCACTTCAAATGTTGACCACTGAAATGTTTCTAATGCACTGTTCTATAGGATTTGAAGAATTGGTCACCTGCTTTTAGAGTGATATTTTGGCAAGGTTTAGTACAGGGGTGCTTGAACTCTGTCCTGGAGGGCCGGTGTCCTGCAACGTTTATATCCAAACACCAATCACACACCTGAGCTAGCTAATCAAGCTCTTACAAGGCTTTCTAAAAACATTCATGTATGTGTGTTAAGGCAAGTTGGAGCTAAAATCTGCAGGACACCGGCCCTCCAGGACAGAGTTTGAGCAACCCCAATTTAGCACAAACCCCTCAAATGCATGTGAACTGTCTAGTCCAGACTTTCAGACTCCATAGGTAGTAGTTTGGAGAAACACTGCACGACACGGGCTATCCAGGGTGCAGGATCTGGCACCTCTGCCTTAATAACCGTTCAATAGAGCAGTGGTTCTCCAACTGTGGTACGCGGACTTCCTTCTGGTGGTTCAGAGGAATGAAATGTCATGTACATGCTACATATCAAAAATAATTTATATATGAATATGATGACATGGCTTATTTCTGAGGTCCAAGCAGCGCTTCCAGGTGTTGATGAATTAGCTACTATATTTTAATACTTTACGTATAGGATTTTATTTATTTTTATTAACAACAAAAGTAACCCTTTCATTTATTTTTTACTTTTTTTAAAAGCGTATTTTAATTTTAAACATTGTCCTTTTTTATTGTTTACATTTACGCACAGTATCAGTGTTCAAACTGTTTATAATGTTAGAAAAGGCTGACAATGAATATATTTAATGTTTTAATCTCTTTTTGTATGTTTTAATTTATTAATCTGCCTTGTTTTTGAAGTGTGCTTGGAGAGACCATTATTTCTGGAGCGGTGCTTGATGAAAAAGTTTGAGAACCACTGCAATAGAGCATTTACTTTGGTTTTAATAAATTATAGTAACCCTTTTTATAGTCTCTTTCAGGTTTGATTTATTTGAATGCCCCTGACCATTTTTCCATCTGATTCCTCTCTAGGCCGACCAGTGTACTGGTCTGCAGGGGTTTCTGATCTTCCACAGTTTTGGTGGTGGAACCGGCTCTGGTTTCACATCTCTGCTGATGGAGCGACTGTCTGTCGATTATGGTAAAAAGTCAAAGTTGGAGTTCTCCGTGTATCCTGCCCCGCAGGTCAGCACTGCTGTGGTGGAGCCCTACAACTCCATTCTCACAACCCACACCACTCTTGAGCACTCCGACTGCTCCTTCATGGTAGATAACGAAGCCATCTTTGACATCTGCAAGCGAAATCTGGATATCGAGCGTCCTTCCTACACCAATCTAAACCGGCTTATTGCTCAGATTGTGTCCTCCATTACAGCATCGCTGCGCTTTGATGGGGCCTTGAATGTGGATCTCACAGAGTTCCAGACCAATCTGGTCCCTTACCCTCGCATTCACTTTCCTCTGGTCACCTACTCTCCAATTATTTCAGCTGAGAAAGCCTACCACGAGCAGCTTTCAGTACCAGAGATCACCAATGCCTGCTTCGAGCCAGCAAACCAGATGGTGAAGTGCGACCCTCGCCGTGGGAAATACATGGCCTGCTGTTTGCTGTATCGTGGTGACGTAGTCCCTAAAGATGTCAATGCCGCCATAGCCAACATTAAGACACGCCGCTCCATCCAGTTCGTAGACTGGTGTCCCACTGGGTTCAAGGTTGGGATCAACTACCAGCCGCCCACTGTTGTGCCAGGAGGGGATCTGGCCAAGGTGCAGAGGGCTGTCTGCATGCTGAGCAACACCACTGCCATTGCAGAAGCATGGGGCCGCCTGGACCACAAATTTGACCTGATGTACGCAAAGAGAGCTTTCGTGCACTGGTATGTGGGTGAAGGGATGGAGGAAGGAGAGTTCTCGGAGGCGCGAGAGGACATGGCTGCCTTGGAAAAGGACTATGAGGAGGTTGCAGCCGATTCAACTGATGACTGCGGGGAGGATGAAGAAGAGTATTAAATTATTGCACTTGTATTTTGAATAAATTTTGAAAGCATAAGAAAACCAGTCTTGGTCTCATTTCCTGACATGGTAAGCTGAGGTTTAATTTCATGCATGTCTCAATGATAAAAGCTAATCTTACCCTAGCTTCTCCCCTGAAGTGACCAATAATAAAACTTAAACCAATTCAGAAGTTTTAGTATGTTCATCTTAGTGCTAGGCTAATTGAGTAGTCTTTGTAGGTGCCATCTGTTGCAGTGTTATGTACATTTTCAAATTGTAATCTAAACCCTTTTGTCTGGTGCTTGCTTCAAAGATTTTGGCTCACAAAAGAAACTCAAAGTAGTTCCTAGAATGTTGCAACTTTTTACTGTTAAAATCCTGCAGACCAGGGGCCTCATGTATCAACGCTGCGTACGCACAAAAACATTGCGTACGCCAGGTTTCACTCTCAGAATCGCTCACGTTTGGATTTACTAACAATGAACTGAACGTGGGAATGTGCGCAGGTTCACGGCAGCTTTTTGGCAGGCGTACGCACATTTTTTGTGCGTGTCTGTTTTATTTCCATTGGCGACTCCTAGAGGCAGTTGTGTTAAATTCTTCTCTACAAAGTGTCTGAGCCTTGCAATGGCAGCTGTATGAGACGGGTTCATCTAGTAGGTATGTAAGATTTCCATACCATACAGTTGACCAGCTAAACATTAAAGCACAATTTGCAGCGGTCTCCTGTTTTCCCAATGTAATCTGAGCGATCTACTGCACGCACATTGCTATAAAGACACTATCTGAAGATGAATTTGCAAGCGTGAATCAGAAACATTTCCATTCAATAAATGTGCAAATAAAATATGATGCACAAACTTATTAATGATTCCTACTAGTCTTTCTCGTGATAAATAGTAGGCAAAATATGATATGTAGCGGGGGAAAAAAAGAAGATAGAATTCATCAGACGCTGGATTCGAGCCGAGTTCATGCTTGAACGTGTCAAAACATGACCACATGCGTCTTACGAGCACGCCACTGAGACTGTTCAGAGTACTGCAACAGTTTACAGATATAAACCAGACTATTTTTTTTAAATGCACTCAGTGCGATGTTCAGACCCAACTGTGTCAACCGCATCAGCTTAACTCTCCCACTCTATTTTTTTTTCTTTTGTTGTTAATTCCGAAAAACAAACTTGCAAATAACACCGCTTTTCTCCGATCTACCTCCGAAAGCAGCACCTCCGATTCACATTCTGTTCAAATTTTCTCTTTTTGCTTGCTTTTGCCATTGCTTTTTCGTTGGGTTTTGCCATTAGCATAGTCATTAGCATATTCATACGGGGGAGGAGGCAGGGAGGGGTTTTGTGCTCGTGCATGTTGCGCTCAGTTTCACGTTCATTCGGATGTACAAAAGAATATGCGTGAGAGTCGGCGTACGCAGTGTTTCATACATCTGAATTTTTTTCTGCGTACGCACATTTACAGCTTTGTGCGTACGCAATGTTTTAGTAAGATTTCCACGCAAGTCTTCGTACATGAGGCCCCAGGGGCCTCATGTATCAACGCTGCGTACGCACAAAAACTTTGCGTACGCCAGGTTTCACGCTCAGAATCGCTCACGTTTGGATTTACTAACAATGAACTGAACGTGGGAATGTGCGCACCTTCACGGCAGCTTTCTGGCTGGCGTACGCACATTTTTTGTGCGTGTCTGTTTTATTTCCATTGGCGACTCCTAGAGGCAGTTGTGTTAAATTCTTCTCTACAAAGTGTCTGAGCCTTGCAATGGCAGCTGTATGAGACGGGTTCATATAGTAGGTATGTAAGATTTCCATACCATACAGTTGACCAGCTAAACATTAAAGCACAATTTGCAGCGGTCTCCTGTTTTCCCAATGTAATCTGAGCTATCTACTGCACGCACATTGCTATAAAGACACTATCTGAAGATGAATTTGCATGCGTGAATCAGAAACATTTCCATTCAATAAACGTGCAAATAAAATATGATGCACAAACTTATTAATGATTCCTACTTGTCTTTCTCGTGATAAATAGTGGGCAAAATCTGATATGTAGCGGGAAAAAAAGAAGAAAGAATTC